CCTGGTGGCATGGTAGGCCCCAGGGTTCTCCCTATGAAGACCCGGGGATCTCCTATGGACACCCCCGCGACCCTCAGGGTATTGACATCGTCATCGGGATTCGCGTTCATCGCGATAATGACACTGGTGGCCTTCTTCCTGATGATGGAAAGCGTGTTCGGCGCATGGTACATGCGAATGATGTCTTCGATCGTTGGGTTATCCAGATCTGGTTCCGGAACCCGAGTCTTCATTCGCAGCACCAGGGGCAACTTCATCTGATCGGAGTATTGTGCCCTCCCCGACACCCTCAGTGCTTCTCCATCAGGGTGAGCAGCGCTGTAGCCCGATTGCCGCTGCGACTTTCGAGCCGGCAGATTCGATGGCGGCGGCATTTCGCGAGGCGGGGGCGGAGTCGTCTCAGGAGCGACGCCTCCGAGATGCTCTCGTCCAGGGCGTTGTGATGTCGGACCGGGTCGGATCACCCGTTCTAGCTCACTATCATCCTCATCCTCTTCATCTGGAGGAACGGGAACGGTATGAGCCTCGGGAATCGACGCTTGTCTTTGCTCGGTGACCTGCACTCTGCGCTGAGGCGTATCATCACGCCGTTGTGCCTGTCGAGCTGCAACATCGAACAACCTGTGAGGCTCCTCCAGTTCATCGGGTAGAGCCTCGAAGACATCTTCATCCCTTTTCATCAGAATCGGGTCAGTGCTCTTAGCATCGGGGAGCTGACCCTTCACTTCTTCAACAAGAGCGAAGAATGTCTTCTCAGTTGCGCGATCTTCGTCGAAACACTCCTTTATCTTGTGAGCGTGATCGCGAACAAACTCCTTGAATTCCTTACGCGTCTCGTCGGGCGTATCAGGGGCGTCAAAGAGTGCGGTATTCCCCTCTGCGATAATCGTGAATCGGGGGTCAGTATGGTGCGGAATGAACTTCCGTCCCAAGGGGTCCAAATCACGCCAGTTGATGGCTTGGACGTTGGGTTCGTCTTCCCCTTTGCCCTTCCCTTTGGGCTTCTCAGTTGCCGCCGCGGTTCCTTCGATCTCCTCTGCTTCATCGTCGGAGATGTAGCCAGGCTCACCTTTTATCGGAATGCCGTAGCACGTCGTCAGGGCAACCTTGGCCAGGAGCGCGGAAAGGCTCTCACTATCGACACGCATGTATCGCTGATACTTTTGCGTATCCGTGATAGTGGCACGGAACTCATCCAATGTATCAAACTCGGTGGAGAGTCGAATTAGCCGTCTCATCGTCAGATTGGCGTTCTGCAAGGGCAGGTGCGCAAGTCGGATTTTCTCGGCCATATCTGGATCGACGGTGTACTCGATCGTCCCCCCTGTGTACAAGGGGGAGAGATATCCACGCGACGAGCAGACTCGGTATGCGCGTTGGCAGTGGATCGACCATCGTGCATAGTAGCACAGCGGCTTTTCGCGGCATGTGGCGAAGACCGCTCCGAAGTGCTTGACAATCGTGGTTGCACAGGCGATCGATTGTGAATTGAAGAACTCCTCCACGCCGCATCGAGCCTCCTTGCCAGTGATACCGGCAACAAGCCTCTCAATGGAAATGTCCAAGCGAATGGCGCCTTGAATCGTTCCGCGCACGCTCTTCTTGAACAATTCCACTTCCTTCGGCGATGTGTCAGCTGCGGTACACTTGATCGGCGGCACCCCGAAGAATGCGGTTTGCCTGTGGTCCTCAGCGAGAGACCTAGACACCGGGAAATTCCTCAGCTGTTTGATCGCAGGATACTCGTGAAGTTGGAACTCGGTAAGCTCGTTTCGCTCGATAAGCTCGTTGAGCCACTCAGCATGACTTCCGTAGTATTCAACCTGGAAGGGGTTCACAGGATCGGCGTAGAACATCCCATCAGGATAGTGAATCGGCTTAGTGCAAGAGTGGCACATGTGGAGACCTACCGGGAATGAAGCTCCGCACATGGGGCAGTCGAAGCTAGCGAGTGGCCACGTTTCTCGTTTGTGGTCTCCTCTCTTAGGGCCAGTGCCAAATTTCGGACCTCCAATGTAAGGGAAGGCCGTGAAGAACACTAGAAATCCCGAGTCCATGAAGTATGCAATCGGCACAGGCGAGAGGGATACTGTCTTTGATCGCATAGTATCCTCTCGGATGGAATGAAATCGGATTGATACCCGCCGCAATCATGTGCAAATCAATCGCAAACACGATCATGCGGTTGGATCCCAACCCTTCAAGGAGCATGGATTGTGACGACGCGGTGTTTGAGAGCGTCTCACGCTTCGGGTTCATTCGGACGTTCATGTACACCTCTTCCCACTCATTGTTGTTCCCAGATCCGGGAGCATACGGGAGCAGTGTGAGGAACAGCTGTCCCTTCGGAGGATTGATTTTGCAATCGCTCATGTACCCGAAGAACTCGCGAATCGTTGCGCATCCCCATCCGTACTGAGGATGGTATCGGGCCACATTTCTTTTCCTCTCGCCACCGACATAATGGTCCTGAGCGAGCTGAACAAATGGCCCGTGCTGGCACTTGGTCATCAGTCGGAATCGGTTGAAATTATCGGGGCCGAAACCGTAGGTGGCTCGGATGCCAACAAATTGAGGACTTCCATCGTTGTTGATCGTCGAGTAGAAGAACTCAAACATCCGGTTGTTGTCCGTCCGAGCGATCTCCATGATGCATTGGATAGTAAGCTCGGTCAGTTCATCGTGTTCGTCCAGAATATTTGTCTGGAGAAGAATCCGGCCACTGGTTTCCCCGGCGTTGACCTTCATGTATTCCCTCTCACGCTCCATGTACATCGGAATGACACCGAAAGCGATGATGCCACTCTGATCGAAGTGTGAATACAAGGGAACGCCCCTTTCTTGATCCTGGGGGCGATTCTGCGCTCTACCGGCAGTAGCGGAAGGGTACCCCTTCGTTTGCGTCAGCACTCGAAACAGCTTCCGCACCAAATTGATCATCCCTGCGTCCGGAATCGTGGCGGCAGGGATGTTTTGTGCGTCGTCAATAAGCAATCGGCTGCATGACACAGATGTTCCGCCGACAGATCGGTACTTTGCCTCTTTGGCATTGTAGGCCCGGACAGCGTCATGAATCTTGCGGCAATCCTCGTAAGACTCCGGTCGGAGGAAAGAATCGTGATCCCCTTTGACAGGTTTCTTGTGAAGTGCCACGTTCAAGTACACCGTCTGATTCGAGGATAGCATGGCGAATCGGCGCCTCGAATACTTGCGCTGTTCGTCGGTCGGTGGGAGACAGGTCGCGGAGACCAGTCGACCATGGACGGAGTCATCGATGCCCATGTCAAGTCCCGGAACGACGAAGCAGTGCAATCGGGACGGACGTCATTTCGTACTGCACGATCGGCGCAATGGAGTCAATACCCCTTTCGGGCATCTGGTCAGGGCGATGAATCGTTGTCGCCTTGATAACAGGGCCCTCGATCCGGCAGTTTCTCGGATCATTTGCTGCCTGATCGGCTGCGGTACTGGCCGGGTCGATATCGACATCCGGCCCTCGAGCGCCGGAGAGCACGGCTCCCTGAGCAACCATATCATTCGGAGAACTGGAACGCACGCCGTGTTCCGGAGGGTTCTCGGCGGTTCGGGCAGCTGGCGGCGGGGCCTTGCCGGGGACCTCGTCTTGCAGCTCCTTTCCGCTACCCATATCTGCGTCCTCCTCGGGTTTCTGCTCAGGCTTCTGATTGGCCGTGTCATCATCCATTTTGGTATCATCGTCATCCTCCTTTGCACTCTCTTCGGACGCCCTCGGAGGTGCTGCCGCTGTAGGCGGAGGAGGAGGAGCCACGTTTAGCGGAGGCGGCGTTGCCGCACGCTCGGATGCGACACTAGCCTGCTCGGTGGACGGAAGATCGTTGTCCGCCGCGCCTTCACCCTGACTACTCAGGGCGCCTGAGGCATCACTGCGACGCGAGGAGGAAGCGGCAATAGATCGGGCATGCCTCTGGAACTCACTCGCAATGAATCCTGCAGTGTTCCGCAGCTGTACCGCAACACTGCGCTGGAACTGGGACAACCTGTCATCCCCAGTTCGGCCGGTGGTGCCGTAGCTCAAGTCATCGGTGAGTCCCATTAGGCTCTGTACCGGATCTTCATCCGGCTTACGGAACTCAGTCACTCGTCGCTGCATGGCGAAGCCCGGTGGTAGCTTGAGGTCCTCTCTCGTCAACCTCGCCGCTGTATCATTCACCAGGGCCACCCGCATGGACTGAATGACTTTTCCAGGGGTAGGCGCAATGAGGTCCGGCCAATCATCGGGAGTCGGAACCTCAAGGTCCTCTGGTTTGAACACCATCTGTTCGAAAGACATCGCACCCATGCCACGGTGTCGGATGGCAATCTGCAACGACTGGTATGTGTTGAGAAGCGATCGAGCCATACCGTACGTCGAGGGAATGTGCGGATGGAACACAGGGAGGGTTGACACGCTTGCAACCACTGCATCCAGGTTGGAAATGATCGCACCAACCTTAGCTTCAAGCTCCCCCCTGTTTCCATACTCCGGGGTCCACCGTGCATCGATGGCAGACACAGTCTCACCAGTATCTCGGTTGATGAGCACAGGCGTAAATCGGTCGCTGGCCATCTCCCTGATGAGATTGCTGTTCGATTCGACCCGACGCCTGCCTTGGTGCACTTGGGCCAACCGGTTCGTGACAGCGTCAAGCGCATAGTCACCCGGAGGATACATGGCACCCTGGAACACATTGTCATCACTCATGTTCGGATCCATGATCTTGGCTAGCCCATCGGCAATGGATCGAAGGTGTTCGGCATTCTCAACGCCGGTGGCACCCTTTGCCACTTCAGCGATATGCGCCTTCATCTTCGCAGCTTGTTCACGGCGAGCCTCAGCTTCACTGACTTGGCTTTCGAAGTGCGCATAGCCTTGACGATTCTCGGTGGTGGGTCCCGCGGCTTCCTCGCCACCGATCGGCTTTGGCTTCTTCATCGTAGAGAGAGGGATCGTCGGCACGGCAGGCGGTCGTGCTGCGACAGTTCGCTCCGCATCCCGGGGAGTAGGCATTTGCCCGAATGCCTCAGAGTCATTCCTTCGAGAAGCTCAGTGAACTCCTCGACTCGTCGGATTCCTCCTTCTTGACCTCGGGCATCGCAGCATTGCCATCCCCTTGCTGTTCGTCATCATCGGAACTGCTGCTAGACTCTTCATCGTTCGTAGCAGCCGGAGCAAGGCCGGGCGACACTGGCATTGCCTGGCCAGGCACAGGAGTAGCGGGCAACTCAATCGGATCCGGATGACGAACACCCGGTAGATCAACCAAGGTCCCCCGTTCCTGTTTGATCGGATTCTTGGGAGCAGTCGGACCTACGTCGTCAGCCATATCGTCATCATCGTCGTCATCGAAGCCAAGCTGACTCATATCGACGGTCTTTGCGGCTCGATGATCGGCGCCGCGATCTGCCCCTTCGATAAGGTCCTGCACCGTGGAGTGCACAATGGCCCTCACCGTGCCCGTCGACTTTTCTTCCGGGACTGGAGTGCGCGCCCACATATTATCGTGAGCGATCTGATACTCCCGGCGGGTTGCGTAAGACGGAAATCGTGCGAGAGCCGCAAGCGTGAACATCGAGCAAATACGAGTACACAGGACGCCAATCGTTTTGGACTCATGCATGATGTGAAATCCCTTCAGGTACGGCAGTCCTTCCAGGATAGCGTCAAACGACAGGGTGAGGAAGTTGGACCTCCTGATCATGTCCCAGATCGATCCCATCTCCTCTCTGTATTTCTCGAAGAGAGGGCCAGGAAGAGTCGGAAGGTGTCCCATGCTCGGCGACACTGGTCCGCAAAGGGACACCGACCCGTAGATCGTGTTGTACTTCTCGAGGGCATCCCGGGCGGTCGACTTGGCGTATTGTGATCGTGCCATATCGATGTCACCAGTCAGCTTATTCCAGCTCTGGTCCATCTTCCACAACTCTTCTCCTCTCCAAAGGATGAGGATGTGCACATTCGATGGCGGGACAGATGTGTCGCTCCGCATCAGTTCGAGCGTATCGACCATCTCCTTGAGCTTGTAGTCCTCACCAAACGCCTGCACTCGCACTTCGGACTCAGGGAATCCAAAGCTTGCCAGCGCGCTTTTCAGATGGGTGTTCATCTCACCATCGCGCCAGGATTTGGCAGACCTGAAGGACAGCAGGCCGTCGTGCATGACAACGAATCTCTGCGGCTTGCTGGGTACCGCCGGCTTGATCGTTGGCGGAGCACCCCCAAATGCAATCGTGGAGGCCATGGTCGTGACCGCTCTGATCCCGTGGATCGAGACTGCCACAAGAGCATCGGCTGGGCTCCAAGCAGGCGCGGCAATGATATCCGTCGTACTATCTTCATCGTATAGGATACCCTTGACACTCTTGGCGGGCGTGTAGCCGAAATTGCCGAGCATGACACCGTATGCCTTTCGGTAGTGCCTGCACCATGCCTCCCATTCTTTGGAAGGTCCTCCGGCAATTGTCTCGAGCTTTGCAGGCTTGGGCAAACCCTGGCTCCCTTCCTCTCCCAGGATGGGTGCACGAAGCTGGAAGAAAGGAGCAAGCTCGATTCGGTAGCTAGAGGATTGAAGCTCGGATAGCAAGACATACCTGCCACCGACAGCGGCGTGCTCGCTCGTCCCGTAGGTGTCGGGCATCCAGTGATTGCGTCGAAGCACTGCTGGGTTGACGGTGATTCGCTCCGTTGCCTCACTGCTACCCGCCGCAGCCTGATCATCAGCCGCGGTAGAAGCGACCTGTTGGGTAGTGTTGCCCCCCTGAATCGTGAGGTCTGCGAACTCGACATTATCGCGGGCGACACTGTCTCCCAGCAGCTTCAGAATGCGGGGATCGATCGCCA